GAGTTAAGTTCCTTTAATTCTGACTGAAAAAAAGCCTCACCGCGTTCTGTACAGCCTCCCTAAAGGCATCCTTGACTTGCTGGGCATTTCTCTACCAGATTGTCTCCCCCTCTCTCTGCTTCAGGCTTTTTTCTTCTATTTTGAGACGAGGAGAGTTGCTTTTTCCCTGGCTCCAGGAGCAACTGGGTTTCCCACCTGGTTATGCCCAACCTTTCTCCCTTGCTGTTGCTTTTCAAGCCCTCTCTGCCTCCCAAGCAGTGCTTAGTTTTCCTAACTCTTCCTCTTTTTCTGGTTGGGTGGTTTGGGTTTTTTCCCCCCCTACCCTCTACATTCTGGCTTATATTTAGCTTATATATTCAGTGCCTCTCTGCACACCGTGCTAATCCCATGCAAACCCCTGCCACGTTCCCCGGGCAGTGCTGGCCTTTTGGCACAGGCGTACCAGCCTCCTCATCTCCCAGGCTCCTTCTATTAGTTACTAAGATGGTGGGTAAATTTGTTAGGGGAAGTGAACAAGGCAGGTATCACTGACCACAGTTTCTATTACTTGATCCCAGAGATTAACAAAAGGAGTTAAATTATTTTCAATATTAAGACATACCCGATGTGTTATAGATTTGATTCTATAAGCAGCACCAAAGGGATGGGCTTAGTAACATCTCATTAATTATGCCTATTTCAATTTGCATAAAACCCTGAAAACTTATGAAGCACAGTAAGAAGTCAAGACTTTAACTATCCCGTTTCTCTTTTTGCAAGCTGCAAAGTATGGAGGAAGCTGATAATGCTCTTTCAGTTCCTGAGGACCTCAAGCAGCTTAAAAACGAGTTATATGACATTAGCAAACACCATTAATAAGCCAACAGCTGGCTGAAAAGCTAAAAACAAACATCTACAAAACTGTTGAAGCATAAAATAACATCGGGACACCTGAAGATACATCTGTTGACAAGAAGGTGTCCAGCACACGAGATTAGTCACCAGTAGCTTTGGGACTGTGGAAAATTTGGCTAGCTGCATCTTCCAGTATGGGAATACTTGGAATGCTCCTGATGAGATTTTGCAAGAAGTCAATAAAAGAGATGCAGATGTATTTATGGCTTGTACACACCACTGGTCACAAATCGCGTTTGTGTGCTTTATCACGTTAATTCAAACCAGGGATTAAAGGAGCAACTCCCAACACTTACCAAAAAAGGACTCCTGTGGTATTAAGGTGCCTCTAATAATGCCACATAGAAACAATAACCAGGCCCAAATTCTCTTTCAGGTCTCTTCCCCTAATACAAGATTTATTAACTTGAGCTGTATTTATTGGCATCCAACTGGAGAGAGAAGACGAGTCTCCAGTTGGCTGTGAAAGTTTTCATCATCCTTAAGCACCAGGAAAGGAATTTCCAGATACTATTAGCAAAGCCTCCACCCTTACAGTCTGAGCAATTGTGTGGAGTATCATTAATCACTATCAAATGAAGCATTCACCACCCTCCTAGTACAAACAGGTTACCGAAAAACATTCCTCATTACAATTCCTAGCTGGCCTTACATTGCAATACATCAGGCAACGATGTTGGGTGTTTGGTTTAACTGAGCCACGTGTACCTGCAGTTGGTTTAAGTATAATGTAAAATACTGTATATTTAGCTGTGTTTATCAACTCTCCTTCCCTGTGCCCTACCAGTAAATAAATATTGCATCAGATGCCTGCATATATTAAATGCAGCCTGAGTCATCGTATCACACATGGTATTCATGCTAAATCTGTCTAAAACAGCAAATAACAAACAGCAGCATAAACAGAGCATCTTCACAACTGCTTCCTTTTTGGCTACATGCCTACTCTTGCACTGGAAGAGCTGCTGTATTAGAGAAGTTGGTTAATGTTTGCCCTCGCACGGTTCCTGGAAAACTAAGACACTCAAGCAGCAGAAATTAATATTCACAAAAGAGCTGTCAGGGGGAAAGGAGAAGTTTTCCCTAAGGTGCACTGTTACAGTACAGTGTGTTTGACTGGCACTCAGGCTCCTTTTCCTTCACAGGGAGAAATGTGAGATGCATAATCTGTCTGTACTCCTGACTTTTCCCCATCTAATTAGAACATTGTTTCAAAGGATTCCTGCCCTTAAATAGGCAATATAATCCAACAGATTGACACAGATGTGGTCTGGCTTATACCATCTTCCAGCTTGATAGGCTTCAAAGCAGAAAGCAATGTTGTCTTCTAGAGGGGCAGTGGAAAAGGATACAACCAGAGACTTCCGAGGACTCAAATGTGTATCTCATGTCTGAGCTCGCAGGAGTGGACTTGTCCACTTGTAACATAACGAACAAAATGAACTAAAATCTGACTCAGTGATACCAAAAAAATTCAAGAGACGGGGAAGGTTTATAATGTCAGTGGTCAGAGCACAGCTCTGAACATTATTTAACAGCTGAACAGTGAAAGAAGGCATTTTGCAGCCTCAGGTGTCTAGTCCCTGCTCTGCTACTGTACCGAGTAATGCCAGAGAAGACTACTAAAATCACTGTTCCACTGCAAGCCAGCTTAATAAACAACTCCTGAACACAGCAAGATGTTCAGATGAAGAGAGGCCAGGGAAGTCCATCTATACCTCCTGCTTGTGTTTTTATGGCTTTGCCTGAGCTCTGAGTGCAGTGCACACGAAAAGGTGAAGAACAAAGACTGTAATTTTCAAGGGGAACTCAAGGCCTTCTCCATCCCCTGAAACAGCAAAGTATACACACGATAAGCCAAGATTGCCTCTCTGTACCACAGTCACATGCGCTGTGGAAGCTGTAACCTCACAAGGACACAGATATGGCCATGCAAATATGGGTTATGCCTATGCTAACAACTGGCCTATGTCCCTCGGGCTCCTAAATGGCTTTCAATCTAGCTGCTAAGGTGTGTGAAAGCTTGTGCTAAAGCAGCTTCATTTCTCTTGCGCTCCTGATCGCCAGGAACACGCTACCCTTTGATTCCCTGACTTGAGAGGTGAGGACGTAAGCGAGCAATTTCTTGTTTTGAACCTTTGGAGGTGAAAAGGAGAGGAGCTGCCTGCCACACTGGGGACAGATGCCATGACTGCAGGCAGCGAAGACAGCAAGAGGGTGGTTGGTAACGGGCATTGAGAAACCCCCTGTATTTTCAACATCTCCTTCAACCAAACCACCTCCAATGTAGTCCTGGCAAAAAACAGGCTGAAGCTAGCACAGATACACTTATTCGTGCTGTCACCACTGCTTCACTCTGCATAGCCTACCTTAAGAAACATACAACATACCGTAAAATCCTAGTATCGGCTAAACAAGTTGAAAAATACCTGAGATGGTCAAAGCAAACCGAACTGCAAAGCATTAGGAGATAATTGTCTTTGCGTCTGCTCAGCACCAGCCTGTGCGAGGCTCCTGCGTCAGAGAGCTGACAGCAAAATTTCAGATGTGGGGGAGGAAGAAAGCAGGCAGAGAAGGGAAAATGCTGCAAACATCTTAAGGGAAGGGCTTGTCTTAATGGATTTTTATCATTACTGAAATCAATCATGGGCGAAGGCCAAACTTCCCTAGGACAGCCAGAAAACAAAAACCTGTCTCTGTCTCAGGACCCATCAATAGGTACTTCACCAAGGCGACCACCTGCAGCAGGCATTTGGTTCAGCGGGTGCTCAGCACTGCTGGGTGCTCAGCAGCACGGGCTGCACACAGAAACGCTTGAGCAAAGCCCCCCGGAGTTCTGCCCAGAGCAGTGATGGTCCCCCCGCACAGCCGAGCCTGGCAGACCTTAGAGAGAGGGGGCCTTTGTACAGCCCTGGAGAGAACTCCCGGTGCCAGAAGCAACCCGGCACAGGAGCACAGCTGAGTCATAGCTGCAGCAGTTACACTAATTGTCCAAGGCAGGAAACAATTGCACTTGTCTGACTGGTCAGGGCATGACAGGAGCCCGAAACATTTTTCTTTGTGAAAGCATTTCATCTTGAAGTAAATTTCCAAAACATAGTCCCTTTAACTCCAAGCCTTTCCAGACTTCCTCATGGCAAACGCAATTCATTCTTTCTAAGAAGGAGAGCTTTAAAGGAGGTGTTACCCAGGAGAGTGAGATCTCACTGTGGTTGGCTTTCACCATCTGTGAAGAAGGTAACCTTGAATTTCCATTACGCAGTGGGAATTGAGGTCTCAGCTCCAACCAGCTCCCCCAAAAAACAGAGGGTGGAGCCCAAGGTCCCTTTTCCTGGTTTTCCTGGTTCCCCACCTCTGTCCTCCATCAAATGAGACTGCCTATGTTCCGAAAGTCATCCCCAGCCTCAAGTGAGACAGGCTCTCCGGCCCTGCCCCAGAGCCAGTGCTTCCCCGCAGCAGGGCTCAGCAGGCGCAGCGGGAGAGCTGGAGAAGGGCCCATCTTGAACTTGCTGGTGCGGAAGCTGTGGATGGAAAGTGTGATCACTCACGCCAGGAGCTGCACCCACACTCACAGATAGCCAACGCAGCACACAGCCACATGTGTGACTCAAAGAGCTGCACTTTGCACCACCTTCAGAGGCCAACATAATTCAGACTGGTGCATAGTTACAGGTGCTGGACTCACTGCAGGGGCAAGCTGAGCGCTCACCAGGAGACCCAGAGACTCCACCAAGCTCCCAGAGGGGCAAACAAAGCAAAGCAAGGGACAGTTCCCTCCCATTGCCTACAGGAGCCACTGACAACATCAAACATCCTGAGTGCTACCAGCAAGGGGGAAAATCCAGGGCTTCCTGCCTATGTTTTTAGGACCACAAACCAACGGCGAAACTGATGGGGAGAGAGGACTCTGTCCCAGAGGGCCGCAGTGTTGTGGGGCTGGAGAGCCCCAGCCGTTGCCATGGTAGGCGGAACTCGGAACCGGTGTCCAGGCACCCCTGTCACCTGGTTACCCAGTGCATTTCGGTGCAACCACAGCTCTGCGGTAGTCTTCCCTTCCTACCTGGTGCGAGTGAGACCCCAGGGAAGGGAGAGGGGGTCTGTGTCCAATGGAGGAGACGGGCTTTAAGGATGAAGTGGATGGAGCCAGGGCAAGAAACAGCAGCAAGGGCAGCACAGACAACCAGGTGAGCAGGGGCAGGGAGAGCTGCACATGGTGAGAGCAAAGTAGAGCCCAGCTTCAGTTTCACCTCTGAAATGTGGTTGGGGATCAAATTTGCAGAGAAATCTTCCAAGGGAGCAGAGCATGTCAGAGAGGAAAGGACTCCTCTTCCTACACACTTCAGCATGTGAAGGCAACATAAGCTCGGGTTTAAGTCAGTTATGTAAATGTCGCTTTCCAAAAGATGAGCGGAGGTGTTACCTACACAAATGTTGACACAGCGAAAACAGCCATTGCCCTTTGCAAGAGAAAATATCCCCCTCCCCGGCTCAGGGAGGTGCAAGTCCATTGGCTGAGGATTCTGTTTTGTCTTCAGTCTGGCTTTGCAGCAGGTCAGCCATGGTACCTTTGCCACCAATAAAAGCTGCGGATGGAGCAGCGTGGTGTTACAATGAGCCCATTGTAACCACATACTTCCACTTAACAAGCTACTGCCAGCCCATATTTGATTAATGCTATTGAGAACGAGTGGCCATTGTTTACCTCATAATTTATCAGAGGTAGGATTTTCAAAATGGACTTCAAGTAGGCACCTAATTCTTATGGCCTTTTAATTATAATTGAATACCTAGCTTCATTAAGCATCTCTGAGAGCGCAATCTGAACTGATTTGGCAGGAAGAGAAATGCTTCTGAGCCTTGGCACAGGGTTTGTCCTTGGCAGTTTTTTTAAAGAGAGAATGTAAGATTTACATGAACTGGAATACTAACCTATGGCTTTGGCAATTTATAGACCACAGAGAAGGATCTGGCTGGCACCGCGAAGGAGGCAGCGTTTGTAACGGGCAGCAAGAGTGCTCTACCATGCAAGACCCCGCTCATCTGCTGCGCAGAAGGCCTTGACCAGGACACCTTTAAAATTGTAACATATTAATTCGAATTTAGGAAAAGTCAGTGGCATTGCAGGTTCTTGAGAGAGAGAGAGAGAGAAAGGGAGCAAAAAAGCAGGACAAGACACTTCGTGCTGTAGCTTTCTTCAATGTCTGAAAGTTTTTACCTTATCATTGTCCAGATGACTGGAAACCACCACATTTCTAGTTTAAAAGAAACCCAAAAAACAACCCACTAAAAAACCCTACCCAAACCACAAAATGACAAAATACCTCAAACAACAACAACAAAATAATCACATTTCACATATGCTGTTTTTTCGAACCAAGTACTGCTGCATTATCATTTCACACAACACCATGTGCTCCCTGGCTGCGGTGCTTTGGTTCCTCTGCATCACACCGCAGCCACAAAGCTCCATCTCATACCGTCCTCCCCCACCGTGGGATGCGACCTTCCCACTCCCGGTGCATCCTGGCATAACCACACAGACCCAGGCACGGCCCAGTGCACATAACCGACAAAGCCCCAGAAAGGCAGGTAAAAGGGACGGCATCCAGGCACAGCGTTTGCTCCTGCGTCATGTGCAAGCGTTTGCAACACGTCCCAGGTTTGGCCACAGGAAGAAGCAGCGTGAGAAAAGCAGTAAAGTGGTTCCCTTCCTCCCTCCCTGCAGAAGAGCAGCTGCTTGGTAGCCTGAAGTCTATACCTTTTGCCCTAAAATGTTTAAAAAAAAAAAAAAAATATCCCAGTCTTGGAAATCCCTAATTCCCTTTTCAAGTCACCTTCGGCTTGCTTCGCCCAGGGTGTCACCAACCTTGGGACGTGCGGGAGTGACTCATGCAGAGCGCTGGGACTGCCCGACAGAGGTCCTGCTGAGGACCCACATCAGCTCCCCCACGTCCACCCAGAGACACCAGAACACAACGCTCCTTCAGTGCTTTACCAGCCAGCTATTTCATCAGTTTATGTAGTGAAAAGGAATGCCCTGGATTTAGCATGCTGAATACCTATGCCAACACTTTTTCTTTGCAGTGCAAGGAGCTTTTGAGACCCTTTAAAAAACCACTGAGGAAACTGCATTTGCCCCAGCACCTTCCCACGAAGGAAAAACTGAAGTACATGAAGGAAAGTTTGACTGTAATCGGGGACCACATCAGTCTGTTTCTCCAGCAGAACTGCAGAGCCTTGGAAGTCAAGCACTGGCGGAAGTAAGGTTCTCCCCTTACCCAGCACTGGTGGTACTGCACCAGTTCCTGGTGTGACGGGCTTCCAGGGGGCATTTAAATACCTACTTTGGCCCTATATTTATTTCCAGGCATTGGAAATGAGACTGGGTGTCAAAGGAGACTTGTATAGCTTGCTCTTCACTGCTGAGCACTCACAGATATTGCAGGTAATTTTAGCAGAGGCCGTGTGGCACAAGGCCACTTCCGACGTGCTGTCCCGCAGCAACATCCCTCTGCAAGTAAAGGGACTCCTGTGGCCACCTAAGTTAATGGATAAATCCTTCCCTTGGGGAAAAGCAATCCTTTAAAAGTTCATAAGCTTTGGGGGGAAAAAAATGAATATTCTGGTGGGGGGAGGGGCAGAAAAAAGGCTGTGCAGAGGTATGTCAGTGGTTACACTTGCCAAGCCAGAACTGGGAAGCAGAATGAGAAGGAGGATCACGTTTGTACTCGCATGCACAATCCATGTGTCTTTCTTTTCCCAAGGATGTTGTGGCGGTTCGTCTCCCTCTTCTCAGAGATGGATGCAAAGCAGCTGCAGAAGCTGTATAAGTACATCAAGAACAACCAAATGGATAAGTTTGTGGTAAGCAAACATGAAACTCAATACTCTGTAAGATGTTCCTGCTGTGCTACCTTTAAGGGGATGACTGTACCATGCATGTACCAGGTTGGTCCATGTCAAAGGAGAAACCTCCTGCTGGGAAGTCTGTGTATCAAAGGGTCGTGAATCCTGCAGATACTGCCCATTCCCACCATAATGCAGGCACTGAGCTATCACAGACCAGTAGCCTTTCTTGGCTAGCTCTGGGAAGCTGAGCTGGTGTCCCCAGCACCATGGTTTACAGTTTTTGGAGCTGTCTGCTGATCCCACGTTTCCATTCATGCTTTAGATCAGACCAAATGTGATCCATAGTTCTATGGAATGATAAAGAGTTAAACCTTGAAACAAGCAACTAGCTTGGGTAAAGCCAAATTTGCCAAAGCTCATGTGGGTATCTCAGCATCAGCTATGCAAGGAAACTGTAAAGAACAGTTTCCTGAGGACACTGACACCAAAGGGTTAAACCACTGAACCGCACTCATAGACAACCATAAACATATCTCCTGAGCAAAGGCTGAGTGTACTCGGAAGTTCAAAGGTCCACAAGAAACACATACTTAAAGAACTTCATTAAAAAGAAATTACAAACAGATCTACAAATGAAAAAAAAAAATCAACTAGGAAATTGTTTTGAGTAAATTAGAAAACTGTGGCAGGCGAGACCTCCTCGGGTTACCGGCGCACTGCTTGCTTCGTGTTAAAAAGGGAGCTGTGGTCATCTGCCAGCTGGCAGTGACAAGGCCGTAAATAAGCTTGGAGCCGCAGGTAAACAGCTCTCTCCTTCCCAGTCCGAGAGAAAGGGGGACGCTGGCCACGCGGTTTTTGCTTCAGCTTGCGGGGAAGCCAAACTATTTATTTTTTAAGGTCTGAAAAAGATAATGCAACAATAAGGAAAACAAACCTATCGTAAAGAAGCAAAACCCAACCCCAAATTCCTGTTGCTAGCGTGAGATGCCTGAGATTAATTGGGGGATATTAAAAAAAGCCACTGGCAGCTGCGGGAGGCAGACGGCAACAGGCGTTCTCGCTCCCTTAAACTTGCACGCGCTGCGGAGGGCGAATCAAGCTCCGTTTCCAGCACAGCCCTGCCCAGCAGCTCAGCCGGACCCCAGACACGACCTCGCCAGAGGCCAAGCCCCGCTGCCCCCACAGGGCATGTGGCTGAGGGTAGCTCCCATAACCCCCACACCTTCCTGCCCTTCCGCTTCCCTAAGCGACGGACACAACCAAACCACACAATTCCGCATCTTCCCTTCCGAGGCGGAAGAACGCGGGGAAAAACCCCAAACGGCGTGTGACGAGCATCAGTCAGGCTGCTCATCAGTCGTGTGTGTCGCGACGCGCCAGCGCGCGCACC